AAAATAAATATTTTGAAAAAAGATTCTCTCACTCCCTCTGCCCCACTCACATACTCTCTCTCTCTTTCTCTCTCTCTAAAATAAGATAAATTAAAAATAAACTCTTCTTAAAAAAATAAACAAATTAATAAATAAATAAAAGATACCCAACAAATGGCCTTTTAGCCTGTAGGTAACTATAATCAGTGACAGTTATGGGGAAGTCCTTCCTAAGTCAGTTTGTCTCTTTCAAGACCTCTGCAGTATTGAGCTAAAAAATATTTTTCCGCAGCTTCAACTTAATCAGCATATTTGTATTGTACCCCAACTCAAGAATATTGCTTTATTCTGTCTCCTGCATCTTCAGTTTCTCCTCTGCTGCCTTTTGAGCTGCCAGGCACTGTGCTGGGTGATGGGGATATGGAGACGAGTTAGACACAGTTCCTGCCCTCAGGAGTTCTCAGTCTAGTGAGAGAGTTCGACATGTACACAGATAATTACAACATATGGTATGCTCTACAATGGAGGTATGTACAAGATACTATGGGGTTCAGAAGAGAAATCATTTGATTGAGTGGGGAAATGCCTGAGGTTGGAGGAACTGATGCTTAGGTGGATTCTTAAAGGAAGTAAAGGTTGGCCAGGCAGAAAACAGAGAAGGACCTTTTAAGCAAAGGCATGGACACTGGAAATAGAATGATGAAATGGGGGAACTGCAAGTAATTCCTGAAATTAGGTTAGAAATGTAAGCTGAGAATAGATCCTAATAAGTATTCCATGAACTTTGGATTTCGTTTGGAGCGTTTAAGTAGGGGATGCTTTTGAAGATCACTTTGGCAGTACTATAGAGTATGTTCTGGAAGATTTTCAAACCTGGACAGGGAGATTAGTTAGAAATACACTTAGTAGAGAAAATGATAAATGATCGAAGGCCAAAAGGATTGGGAGTGGAGAAGAGGGGATAGACTCTTAAATAAGAGGCTATAAAAACATGGACAGTTCTAGAACATGGAAAAATTAAGGTGGTAAAGAGGGAAAAATTAGGGCTCTCAGACTTTGGCAAATGTGCGTCCACCTACTTCCATTCCTGGCCTTGTTGAGATCCTCTCATGTTTATTATGTTTATGAATGTTTATTTATTTATTTTGAGAATGAGAAAGTGGGAGTTGGGGGGAGGCAGAGAGAGAGGGAGAAAATTCCCAGCAGGCTCTATGCTGTCAGTGCAGAGCCCAACGTGGGGCTCCATCTCACAAGCCGTGAGATCATGACCTGAGCCCAAATCAAGAGTCAGAGGTTTTTCTGACTGAGCCACCCAGGGACCCCATCCTCTCATGTTTTTTAGATGGGCATTGCTATTGATTTCTTTTGGACCAGAGCTTGACTGTACAGATTTGATAAGTTTTGTTCTGGGATGGCAGCTGTATATGAAATGTTGATTCTCAGAAAGACATCTGAACAGCTGTAGACCTCTAATAGTATTACTTGGTTCCTTGCCCTTCTCATCAGTAGTAGGTTTCCCTCACCATCACATTGTCTCCCAAAGTCAGAGAGGAAGCTTTTCCCTCTAAAACCCACTCAGGGGAGAAATGGCCCTAGTTGTGACTGTCTCAATTGTTTTATTGTTTGTTGAATGAAAAAAATGAATCATCAACAGACATTAATTGGACACCTGCTCTGTAATCTCCATGGACTCAGCTTAGGGATTTTACAACGTTTGTGGTTACATCTCCAAGTAAAATATATCCAGTAATCAAAAATCTAAACATATTCAGTATTCATTTCCTGTTTTCTCAAAGCAATATAAAAATGTTCTGTGGACAGTTCTCCACCTAAGGCTCAGAGTAGTGACCTTAGGGATTCAGAGAATGGATTTCTGTGACTAGAATGATTAATAGGAGATTATATTTAAGTAGACCTTATGTATTTTCAGTGGACCTTATGTAAGTAGCCATCCTAGAGGGCAGTAGGGGGAAGAAGGATTGGGAGAGGAAGCTCTGAGTAGGACGGCAAAGCAGTACGTAAGAGTCTGGGCCTTGGGACTAAATATCCTAGGCTCAAATCTGCTCTTAAACTCACCAGTGTGGTATTGAGCATGGTTTTTCACCTCTCTGGGACTTGCCTTTCTCTTATGTAAAATAGGGGTAATGGTCTTTTCTGCATGTAAAATGGGGATAATGGCCTTTTCTGTGATGATTTGGATGGGGATGGGGGTAGATGTAAGGATTTAATGGGATTATTGTACATTTCTTAGAACAAGTCTGGAATGTGCCAAATGCTATTATCAACTGTCGTTACCACTAATAATGATGTTGACCATGTCTGGGATTAAAAGAAGATAGTTAACCAGAGGTGCTTATGTTTTACATTGTCAATGAGGCTCTTCGGGTGTGAGAAAGAAAGGGAAACTAACTGGCCTGAAGGTTTTCAATGGTATGTTAGTATGAAGTCAACTCTCTACCTTCTTTTTCTTCTCTGCCAAATAGGTTGGGAAACCAGATGAATTTTGTCCATGCCCTGATCACTAATCTATTGCCTTTGCTCTTATTTCCAAATAGAAACCTGTTGAAAAGTTGTGTTACACCTGAATAAAGGTTATCCTAAAAATGTAGAAAAATGCTTTGGAGTTGGTCAAAACTGGACTTGAAACCTGACTCAACTGCTTACTAGCTGTGTGATCTAAGACATGTTACTTAACCTTACTGAACCTCAGTTTTTTCATCGAATATAATAATTAATTTGCAGGGTTTCTCTGAGGATATTGTGAAGTGTATGTCATAAGCACTAAGTCATAGCTGTCATTGTTAGTTCTTGGGATACTCACCACGTGACAGAAACAACAGCGGGCCCTGGTGGCTGGGAGGACTGCATGGATCCAACCTCAACCTGGAGTTGTGCTCTTCTGAAGAAATCCTACTCGGATGGATATAATACAACCTGCTAAGTGTCCTCGCACTTATCAGGTTGTATTATCATTGTCCGTGTCTATGGCTCTCGTCTACCAGACTCTAAATTCCTTACAGGCAAGGACAGTGCCTTGTTCATCTTTGTATTCGGTGCCTAATCCCGTGCACATTGTAGGCCTCATTAAATGTTTGTTGAATGAAAAAATGAATCATCAACAGACATTAATTGGGCGCCTGCTCTGTGATCTCCATGGGCTCAGCTTTTCCCCGCCAGTTGCCTACAACGTCCAAGCTGTCTTCAATATGCTTTCTCCTGGAGCTTACTCCTATCTTCTCACTCTTTTGCTGAGGACTTTTCTGTGTAGTACAAAGATAGCAGATATACTTCATCTCAAGTACCATCTCCAATCGGTCAATAGTACCTGCCTCGATTATGTTTCACAAAAAGGATGCTGAAGCCAGGTCTCACTCAGTTCAGTGTGAAAGAGAGTTATAACTAATTAGCTATGTTTACTGAAGGTGGGAGAAGGGGGAATAGCAGCCTAAGTGACACATATATATCATATTTAATATGTTTTCCGTGAAATATTCTGTTTCCATGCCTGTATTTTAGTCTTGGCTACTTGCAGATGTTGCATGCCTGCTGCTGCTGCTGCTGCTACTACTACTACAGTTGCTGCTGATTGCTCCTTGGGTAGGACCAAAGTGATCATTGATCAGAAACTTCATCCTCACAGTCTGGGGGTTGCTCCTGTGGCTGGTATTCACAGTTTCCCCTTTCAACTTTACCTCAGCTATCCCCTTACCTACAGTGACAGGTAGGCCTCCACTTTCCATTCACCACTCAACAGGCTCCTATTTCCTTTTCCTTCTTTAGTCTGATTAATGACTCTTGTTCCATGAGAAGCCTTCTTTCTGGTAGAAGATGTGACAAATAGAGTACAAGTTAAATGATCCGTCAGGGCGCTACAGTGAGTCGTATAAGCTGCCCTTTAATGTGGGAGAAAATGGAGTATGCTTGCAGACTTTGGGGCAGGAAGAACAGAGAAGGAAGTCATTGTTGATGGGGGAAAGAAAGACACTAACAGATGGAATAAGTTCCTGAAAAATGATGGCAGAAGGGAAGGTGAAACCTATGACTCTAAAATAGGGGGAGAGAGAGCACCTCAGATGAAAGGAATTACCTCCTCGCTGGAGCATAGGGATAGGAGTTAGGAGAAACATGTGACAAGGGTGTTGAAGATTTGTAATTGTTGATGTGGATGATGGAGAGGAAGCTGACAGGATTATGGGACAGGGATTATGGGACAGGATTATGGGGACAAATAATCCAGGAACAGGATTATGGGGACAAATCCAGGGACAGGATTATGGGACAAACCAGAGTCCAAGGGATATTTGGGCCAAAAGGCTAGAGTGGGGCCTTTCGGTCTATTAAAGTGAGATACTATTATATTAAATTATATACTAAATTAAAGTAAGAAACCAGAAACTTGAGAAACTTTAAAGTGGTCTTAGGCCACCAGTCACAAGTAACTTGATTGCCTGGGACTGACCTTTATTGGTTGAGGGATGGACAGCTAGCAAGAGAGGGGCTACACAGAAATGAATTTGAAACTCCAGACTATATGTGGAAGGAAGTTAGACCAGAAGTGAGCTGAAAGTGTGTGAATGAAAAAAGGCCCTAGTGTGATCAAGATGGGTGTTGGGTAGTTGGAAATTGGAATAATAGAACCTGTAATCAGAGAGTGGATTTTGAAACATTAAGATTGCAAAACCAGAGTGGTCAAGGTAACTTGTGAAGTGAGGTTGTCAGATGGTCAGTTACATAAATACTGAAGTAACCCCGGACTATAGCAAAAGCCAAGCTGGGAATGAACTCTGGAGGCCAGGTGTAACAGGCCTTGATGCCTGAGGAGTGATTTAGAGGTTGGCACATGGCAACTGTGCAGGTGTAAGAGAAGAAACGATGTAGTGGGATAGTTGTATGAGCCACGGAGGAGCGGTAGGGATCATTAGAAGTTACCAAAACCATGATCTACACATTGCTCCGAGGTGTTGGCTTGCAGAATGCCTAGCTAAAGTGATCCCCTCCTCTATCGGGTGCTTGCTCTATACCCAGCACCTTGCTGTGTGCTAACCATTTACCCTGTCTGGGTCTGTCACATATCAGGTATGAGAAAATAAGCAGCATTCCCGAGCAAGGACAGTTAGGGGAGCTGCTGGCCCTTTGAATTGACAGAATGCTGTGGCCGTGTCTACAGACTGGTCAGCTTGAAGTGGCATCAAAAGATTTCTTTTGGACCCAAATTTTTCCTTGACCTTGACCTAACTTTATCCATGTGGTACAAGTTTGTGTTGGCTGTTCCATAATGTACTTTGACTTCTGAGTCTCTGACTTGAGGAGTATGCTAGAACTGTCCTTTAAAAAACAACAGGCACAGCACATTAAAAACACAGATTAATTAACTAGAACAAAGGGGCCCTGTTACATAATTGAGCTTTTAAGATAAAGGATAGACAAAAGAAAGCTCCCATCAGTGTGTAACAACAGCACTTTGTGACAGCCACTCTAAGGTCAGGATACATCTAGTTTAGTGGCCATATTGTACATATTCCCTGTGTTGTTGGGAAGAAGGGCTGGAAATTGATGCAGAGAGATGTCCCTTAGGACTTGGAATGTAAAGTTTAGGAGAAGAGAATCTCCATGAATCCTGTGACACTGCATGTCATCATTTTTCCTCTGTTATAGTCTTTGAATGAGTCAATATTTCAATGAAGGGGTAGAGCCCTTGAGACAGAGTTCCCAGGCCCTTAGACGGTGCATCCCCTCCTTTGGGGCCGCTTTATATTTATTCCTCAGGAAGATCTGGTAGAAGACTTCGTGTGAGGAAGAAGAAAAAGAAAGAAGCAGAGAATCACTACAGCATGTCTTCATATCAGCTTCACAAAGCACGACTCAACAGAGGGCTTACTCTCTTGAGACTCCAGACCACAGGTTGCTCTTTTCAATTGCACGTTTGGCCCTCTCAGCTACTTCCTACATTCAGAAATTGTACTGTATGTGCATGTACGAACTATCATTTCCCATAAAGACTACCCTGTGTTCACAGCAAAAAAAAAAAAAAATCCCTAAAATAAGGTATAATGCTTGTTCTGTTAGGTTTCCAATAGTCACAAATTGCTGGATCTCCACTGCTGTAATACAGGCCACCAGAGATGAGTTTGGGTTTCGGAAACAAAGGACCCCAGCTTCCTGGAAGGAAGGCAGTCAGTTGACTTGAAAGTAACCCCTGTCCCTGCATTCTTATTATTTCTTTTTCCTTCAGCCCCTTGACTAAGATACCACTGATGAAAGCAAACAAAGCCATACTTTCCCCTTCCGCTGGCACTTTTCTGGCCTACATATATGCCTTTAGGAGTCACTGTCTCTTTATCAGCACTTCCTTCTTCCCATCTCTTAAGACCCAGAGAGTCATGAATGCTAGAGTTGGGGTTGAACTTGTCACACCTACCTCCTGCAGTTGGGGAATACTAATGTTAATCAGCCTGATACCCACTTCCACCTGATAATCATGGCAGCCACTGGAGAAGCTGTACCAAAGGCCAGCAACCGTATGGACCCCAGCCCCAAGACTCACTCCTGATGTCTCAACTGATTGTGAAAAACTAGTAGGAGGGCTTGCCCCACCCCAGCCCCCTTCTGAGTTGGTCATCAGAGATCAGGACTTGTCTTAGGGCCTATGTTACATAAGGACAGATATCTCATAAACAGTATCAGGAGTCCTGGTTACCTTTTATCTCTCTTGGGGATGGGCAGGATAGGGCATAAGGATAAGTGGTAAGTCTTGTGCCTTTCAAATATATTCCCAGTGATTCCTCAGGACACCCTTGGTCACACCATCTGGTGCCTAATCCTGGGTCTCGCCTCTTCAAAGCTTTCCTAGTGTGTTCCTTGCTCTCACTAACCACCTTTTATTTCCTGCCCCATCCTGATGGATTTCAGCAGGTGTTTTTTCTTTTCCCTTCCTCAGGCCATCTGTAACAGCCTTTCATCTGGAAGGAGCCTTGTGAATGAGTGAATGAAACTTCAGTGAGTGTTTACAATGACACCCATGTTTTTCTATGGATATAAGGAGAAGGAAGGAGGCTATGAAATGCCATCATGGAGTAACAAAAAATTGACATTTTAGTGGATATTGAACCTAGAAGCCTACATGAATGAAGGAAGCAAACCTGAGATTCTGATGTTTGTGAGTGAAGAGAGGAGTGAACTCCTTACTGCTGTTAGTAATGGAAGAAGAGAGGGGAGAAAAGTGAGGGAGGTCATACAGTCCTTCACTTCAGTGGAGGGAGTGCTGAGACTTGCTTCATAAACCAGTAACTTATTAAGGTGGATTGGGGAAGAATTGTTGCACTGCACTATTTCTTTTGCTGTTTGTGTGAAGTCACTGCCAGGCACTGTCCTCAGGTAGAGCTGCCTTTGTGGAGGTTTCTGTTAAACCCTAATGAGAAACAACCCAGAACAAGGTTTGTGACTTAGAACTCTCTGGTTCGATGACAGAGTTTTAAAGAGGTCGAGGACAGAGGAAATAGCACAAGTAGTACCAGATAGCCTAGTTTTTCTTATTGGATGGGTGAGGTAGAGGCAGAGGGCACAATGATTCTAGGCAACTCCAAACCCCTGGTAAGGCATTAGGAAACAATATAATGAAAGGTTAGCCCTTAGACCTATTGATTTGTCATTCCCCAGAGCGTGATAGATTATCTAAAAGAACAAGGAGAGCTGCTTTGGAGAAAAGTTCTAAAAGATTCTTTCAGAGAACAGATTTAAAAGATGGGGAGCTTCCTGTTATGTAATATGGGCATTATAGCTTTTAAAGACTTCTGTTCCAAATAGCCAAATTATGGAAAGAGCCTAAATGTCCATCAGCTGATGAATGGAGAAAGAGATTGTGGTTTATATACACAATGGAATACTACCTGGCAATGAGAAAGAATGAAATAATGGCCTTTTGTAGCAACGTGGGTGGAACTGAAGAGTGTTATGTTAAGTGAAGTAAGCCATACAGAGAAAGACAGATACCATATGTTTTCACTCTTATGTGGATATGGAGAAACTTAACAGAAGACCATGGGGGAGGGGAGGAAAAAAAAAAGGAGGGAGCCAAACCATAAGAGACTCTTAAAAACAGAATAAACTGAGGGTTGATGGGGGGGGGGGCGGGGGGAGGAAGAGGAAAGTGGGTGATGGGCATTGAGGAGGGCACCTGTTGGGATGAACACTGGGTATTGTATGGAAACCAATTTGACAATAAATTTCATATAAAAAATAAAGACTTCTGTTCCCTACCTAGATCATGGAAGTTGACACTAGTATCAGCCTGTGGCTGCATAGGCCAGTATTAACATAGAAGTATCGTGCTCTTGGAGAGATCCTGCCACTCTCTTGCTTTGACAGGTGTTCAGCTGCAATACAAGTCCAGTGCTTGAAGAAGCAAAGAGGGCAACAAGCCTCCAGGGGACAACAGTGTGGTCTTCTAAGTGAAGATAGCAACAGAAGAGATCACGGACTTGGCTGGATTGGGCTGGGCTTGTTTGTTCAAAATTTTAAAAATACTTTTTTTCTTGGGGCGCCTGGGTGGCGCAGTCGGTTAAGCGTCCGACTTCAGCCAGGTCACGATCTCGCGGTCTGTGAGTTCGAGCCCCGCGTCGGGCTCTGGGCTGATGGCTCAGAGCCTGGAGCCTGTTTCCGATTCTGTGTCTCCCTCTCTCTCTGCCCCTCCCCCGTTCATGCTCTGTCTCTTTCTGTCCCAAAAATAAATAAACGTTGAAAAAAAAAATTAAAAAAAAAATACTTTTTTTCTTGACCATAAAAGTAACATGATCATTGTTGACAAATGAAATGAAAGGTATAAATTAAAAAGTAAAGAACACCTATAATATTATAACCAAGAAAACAACTCAACATTTGAGTGTTTCCCTTTGTTCTTGTAAAAAAGAATGTGTGGAACACAATTTTTAAAGTTTTTTTTTTTTTTAATTCCAGTTAGTTAACATACAGCACTCTATTAGTTTCAGGAGTGTGACTTAAAAACAAAACTGACATATTGTATATGTTGTTCTCTAACTTTTTTCATTTGAAAATAAACATATTTCTACATCATTGGCATTCTTTGAAAACACAGTATTTTTTTTTTTACAGGGCTGTTGTGTTTATTTTTTTTTCAATATATGACGTTTATTGTCAAATTGGTTTCCATACAACACCCAGTGCTCATCCCAAAAGGTGCCCTCCTCAATACCCATCACCCACCCTCCCCTCCCTCCCACCCCCCATCAACCTTCAGTTTGTTCTCAGTTTTTAAGAGTCTCTTACGCTTTGGCTCTCCTCCACTCTAACCTCTAAAACACAGTATTAGGTGTTACATAATGTTTCATATGAATCTAACAGAATTTATGTAAAAAAATAACATGCTACTGGACATGTTGGATATTACCAATTTTGCCTATAAAATGTAATAAACATCATTGTATGTTAATTATTATGTGCATTTCTAATTATTTCTTTGCAATAAATTTCCAGAATTGGACTCACTGAGTTTGAATGAGAGTATTATTAAGGCATCTGAAAGGTATTGTTGCATTGTCTTCAATATAGTTGTACAAATTACATTTCCATCAGTGGTGTATAAATGTTCATATTTCTCCATACATTCATCAAAATATGGCCATTCTGTCTTTATAAATCCCTGCTCATTTGACAGGCAAAAGTATACATCTTTTCTATTAGAGCTTTTTATTTGTAATTTATATACAGTAAAATTCCCTCATGATTTATAGTTGGGTGGGTTTTGACAAATATAGTCAGGCATACTACTCTAGTACCATTCCAAACAGTTTTATCACTAATAATTTCTCTCAATTGTTCTTTTTAAAAAAAGTTTATTTATTTTGAGAGAGAGTGTGCACACACACTCAGAGGAGAGCAAGAATCCCAAGCAGGGTCCTCACTGTCAGCGTGGAGCCCGCTCAATTGTCCTTTTTGTTGTAAACCTCTTTCCCCATTCCCAGTCTCCAAAAACCACTGATTTGTTGTCCATCTCTTTGGTTTTTGCCTTTTCCAGAGGTTGTATGATTGGAATTATGCAATATATAGATATTTTGGTCTGGTTTCTTTCACTTAGTAAAGTGCATTTAAGATTCATCCGTGTGGGGTGCCTGGTGGCTCCCAGCTCTTGGTTTTGGCTCAGGTCATGATCTCACAGTTTGTGGGTTTGAGCCCCGCATTGGGCTCCGTGCTGACAGTGCTGAGCCTGCTTGGAAATTTCTCTACCACTCTCTGTCCCTCCCCCGTGTGTATGTGCATGCACACTCTCTCAAATAAATAAAATTTTATGAGAATCATTAGTTTATCCCTTTTTATTGTTGTACACCATTGTATGAATGTACCACAGTTTTTTATCCATTCACTAATTGATGGACATGTGAGACGTTTCCACTTTGGGTGATTATGAATAAAGTTGCTATAAACATTCAGGTACTGGTTTTGTGTGAACATAAATGTTCCATCTCTATAGGGTATATAGAGTAAATGCCTAGGAGTGGGAATGACTACCAAACTTTTCCAAACTTTCTGTATCATTTTGCATTCCCACCACAAATATAGGAGTTCCAGTCGTTCCACATCTTCCCCAGAATTTTGCATTATTATTTATGTTTTATTTATTTTATTTTAGAGAGCATGAGCTGTGGAGAGGGGCAGAGGAGGGAAGAGAGAGAGAGAGAGAGAGAGAGAGAATCCCAAGGAGGCTCCATGCCCAGCACAGAGCCTGAACCAGGACTCGATCCTACAACTCTGGGATCATGACCCGAGCCAAAATCAAGAGTTGGACACTCAACCAACTGAGCCACCCAGGTGCCCATATATATTTTTTAAATGTTTAGCCATTCTACTAGGAATATAGTGTTATCTCACTATAGTTTTAATTTGCAATTCCGTAATGGCATAATGAAGTTGAGCATGTCTTCATACGCTTATTTGCTATCTTTGGTGAAGTGTCTGTTCAAATCTTTTGCCCCCTGACCTTTACTGGTTTGTTCCTTTTCTTTTACGTGTTTAGATTTCCATATATATACTTTTTTAAATTTTTTATTTTAATTCCAGTTAACATACAGTGTTCTATTAATTTCAGGTATGCAGTGTAGTGATTCAACACTTCCATACAATGCCCAGTGCTCTTCTCAAGTGCCCTTCTTAATCTCCATCACCCGTTTCACCCATCCCTCCACCCCTCATAAACATCATATTGTCCTCCATAATTAAGAGTCTGTTTCTTGCTTTGTCTTCCTCTGTTATTTTCTCCTTTGTTTTGTTTCTTAATTTCCACATGTGAGTGAAATCTTCATATTCTTGATACAAGTCCTTTGCCAGATATGTTATTTGGAAATGGGTTTTCTGAGTTTGTGGCTTGTTTTACCATTAACAATGCCTTTTTCAGAGCAACAGTTTTTAATTTAATGAGTCCCACGTTGTCAAATATATGACAATATAAGTAGTAATGGGCATAAATGGAGCTGAAGCATTCTAAACCACTTATATTATCCAGGAGGTTTTTTAATAATAAATATTTATTGTAAAAGTATGATTCTAAAGGTAGATGTAGGGGTGCCTGGGTGACTCAGTCATTTGAGCATCTGACTCTTGATTTTGGCTCAGGTCATGATCTCAGTTTGTGAGATCGAGCCCCATATTGGACTCCACACTGACATTGTGGAGCCTGCTTGGGATTCTCTCGCTTTCTGTCTTTCTGCTCCTCCCACCCACTTGTGCTCTCTCTCTAAATAAGAAACATTTTTAAAAACTGGTAGATCTAAAAGATCTGTCATGATCCTTACACTGTGTAATCTCCCCTTAACTGTGGGCAAGATCTGTCTTGCTTCTAACCAATAGGGCATGGCAAAGTTGATGGGATGCTGCTTCCATGAAAATGTTACATAACATTACACATACACTTAAAAATAGCCTCAAAATATACAAAATAGTAATAGAAGTCCATGGAGAAATTGAAAAACTCCAAGTGAGTGAAATTCAACACCCTTTCTATTATTGAGAAATCATATCTACAAATCAACAGCATACAAAGATTTAAACAACCCAACTCACAAGCCTCACCAAATGGAAACATATGCACTCTGCTTTGAAGAATTACAGAAATAATTGATCTGAAGCACATTTGCAATAGTCACAAGAATTGATTCTGCATTAGATCAGACAAAAATTATTCACTAATAATTGGCATTGATATTGGCATTATAAGATTCATGTTGTCTTCCCACACTGCAATTAAGTTCTATATTAACAAAAAAGGTAAATAAATCATTTACATATATTTCATAGTTTAAAGCACATTTCTAAATATGGTATTTGTCTTTCTCTGATTGGCTTATTTCATTTAGCATTATACTCTCTAGCTCCATCCATGTTGCAAATGGCAAGATTTCATTCTTTTTAATGGCTGAATAATATTCTGTTGTATATATATACCATATTTTCTCTGTCCATTCATGTATGGATGGACACTTGTGTTGCTTCCATATCTTAGCTATTGCAAATAATGCTGTGATAAACAGGAGTGCACATATCTTTTTGAATTGGTGTTCTCATTTTATTTGGGTAAATATCCAGTAGTGGAATTACTGGATTATGTGGTAATTCTATTTTTAATTTTTTGAGGAGCATTTATACTGTTTTCCACTATTGCTGCACCAGCTAGTTTTCCTGTCAAAAGTGCATCACAGTTCCTTCTGTATATCAAATAAGAAATCATGAGGTACATCTTAAAATATAATGATAATGAAAACACATTAAAAACGTGTGAGACGTGGTGAAAGCATGTTTCAAGGGAAATTTATAGCCTTAAATACTTCTATTAGAAGAGAAAAGAGTGTGAAAATTAGTTTAGTATTCAAGCTAAGAATATAGTAAGAACATTAGGGAAAAAAGGAGGTATTAAAAGTAAAAGCATCAATTCATGAAATAGGAAACAAAGCTACATTAAAGAAGATCAACAAAACCCTACATTTGTTTCTTTTATAAAACTAATAAAATACAAGGTGCCTGGCTGGCTCAGTCGGTGGAGCATGTGACTCTTGATCTCAGGGTTGTGAGTTCAAGCCCCATGTTGGGTGTAGAGATTACTTTTAAAAAATAACAAAATCTTTAAACAAAATCAACAAATGTTTGGCTGACTCATCAATATTTAAAAAAGATATATAGAAGTAATATGAAAAAAGGGGGGAACTTAAAGATTTGAAAGATCAGGGAACAGTACTAACAATTCATGCCAATAATATTGAAAATCTAGAGGAAATAGGCAAATTCCTACAAAAATGTAACTTAACAAAACTGACAATAAAAATTAGAAAGTTTGTATAGTCACATAAACTATTAAGTAGTTGCTCAAATCTTCCTCAAGACCCAACTATATGCTTTCTACCAGAAACTCTATTTAGATAAAAATGCATAGATAAGTTATACTATGCAACCAT